CCCAGGAGCCCCCTGGCTCAGGCCCTTCCTAGGCTGCTCAGGGCCCACATGGGGCCTACCTCAGAGTGACCTGGGTGCTGATGATGTTCCCGGGACCCAGGCCACTGGGCACCTGTGTATGCAAATTTAACCCACCTCTTTGTTGGGTTAATTTGCATACTCTCCTGATTGGCTGGTGGTCGTAGCAGAGGGACAGTCAATTTACATGTTTCTCTTTTCTTAGGTAAGATTATGTGCTATCCAATGGATTTTTTAATTTCAGTTATTGTGTTTTTCAATTCTAAAATTTCTATTTGGTTCCTCCTTATATCACCAATTTCTCAGCTATCTTTCTGTTTCTTTGCTGAGACTCTCTATTATTTCAGACATGTTCACAATTGCTTATTGAAGATTTTATTTTATTGTTTGTCGACGATGGCTGCTTTAAAATCTTTGTCAGATAATTCTAACATCTCTGCCAATTTGGTGCTGGCACTTATTGCATTTTTTATTCAAATTAAAATATTCTGGTTATTGATATGAAAGATATTTATTTGAAACATTTTAGGTATTCTGTTATGAGATCCTGAATCTTATTTAAACCTGTTGTAGTTGTTTTCATATGCTAGCATGCCAGCAGGAGAAGATGAGACACAGACTTATTACTGCCAAGTGAGGGTAGAAGTCCAGGTTTCTCCCTCAGCCTCCATTGATGCTCATGCTCGCCACTGGGTTTCCAATGACAGTTCTATGACAGGAGAGCTAGGAGTGCCTAGTTCTTATTACTCACATGGCTTCTGGTGACAGCACAAGGAGGGTGTCCTCATCATGAGTGAGCGGTGGTGGCAGTCCTGTCTCTTCACCAACCCAGTTGGAAGCGGCAGGACGTCTTATTACTACAGGGTGTGAATAGTTGTTCAGGCCTTTCATGCAGTCTCTCTAGCAGTGTGGGGAACAGAGCCTTCTTACTACCTAGCAGGGATGAGTATGAAAGCTACTCCAGTAGGCGGTGGTGGAACTTCATTCTAGCTTGGCAAGGGTGAGTGTAAAGGTGTAGGCTTCCATTTGGCCCTAACTGGTTAGTGTGAAACCACAGTTTTCTCAATGGTATCTCACTGGAGTAGAGAAGTTAATGTCTCAGTTGTCTGCTAGGCTGACCTTTTCCTGGTCCTTTCTTGAGTTCCAAGGTTGTTTTTAACTAGTCTACCTTCTCTCCATCTTTTATAGTTATATCCATCCATCCATCCATCCATCCATCTAGATATATAGAGATAGATATATGTATACTAGAGGCCTGGTGCATGAAATTTGTGCACAGGGGTGTTGGGTCCCTCAGCCCAGCCTGTGCCCTTTCCTAGTCTGGGACCCCTCAGGGAATGTCTGACTGCCCAGGGGGATCGGGCCTAAGCTGGCAGTCAGACATCCCTCTCACAGTCTGGGACCCCTTGCTCCTTACTGCCTGCCTGCTCACTGCTCCTTACTGCTTGGCTTCTTCCCCTTAGTGCCGCTGTGGAGGCAGGAGAGGCTCCTGCCACCACCACTGCACTCGCCAGCCGTGAGCCTGGCTTCTGGCTGAGTGGCGCCCCTTCTGTGGGAGTGCACTGACCACCAGGAAGCAGCTCCTGCATTGAGTGTCTGCCCCCTGGTGGTCAGTGTGCATCATAGCAACTGGTCGTTCTGCTGGTTGTTCCACCGTTTGGCTGATTTGCATATTAGGGTTTTATTATATAGGATAGATATAGTTTTTAGTTGTATTTATTGGGAGGGAAATGCATAAATAAAATTACTCCATCTTCCTAGGAGAAGAGGTTCATTTCAGATTCATTTAATTAACTCAGAGAGAAAAATAACATGGATACTCTCAGTTTCTTCCAGCATCCTTGTCATCCATTTATTTCAACAGTCAAAAGGGGCTTGGCTCTATGAATCTGTCTATTCTATGGGAAGCTGACTTCAGCATGACTAACAGACCCCTTTGGGACTTTCCTACTATCTGCTTCTATCCTCTCAATACCAAGAGAAATTCTAAAAGTGTAGGGGCTGAAGTTAAGCCCAGTACAGTCAAGGTGAAGGGCACTGGACATTAATGGGCCTCAATGCTGGCCTCTCTGAGATTCCCCAGCATCTGAGGCCAGGCTTCTTTTCATGTCTGATAGTGCCCCTGTCCCACAGCACAGGCTTGGGAAACCCCAAAGACCAACTCCCATCTTCTTTGTGCAGTAACTACAAACACTTGTTACTGAAACTGTTGCTGTGAACTCTTTAAAAATGTTAGCTTTACTGTTCTTTTTTTTTTTTAAATCATTTCATCTTTCCGGATCATAAACTGATAAAAATAAAACAGCCAAATGTTTTGATTAAATGAAGCAAAGAATCAAATATAATGTCCATAATTCTGTAAGAAAAATGACCAAATTTTGCCTCTGTATTTATTTGCCTCTTAAATATTCAATAATTGCATTTTTTCTGAAGTGACTTCTTGCACTAAAATAAATGACTGAAGAGTGTCTTATTGCTGACACAGATCACAGTTTATTGCTAATGGAATGTTAACTGCTTTTTAAGTAACTCTGAATAAATCTGTTGACCCATATAAGATTCATCTAAAAGGAATATAATTAATTTTCTGGCTCCACCATGTCCATTGATGTGAAAAATCTTTCATAGTTTCCTTTTTTTAAGCCATTGCAATACTGAGAGTAGCACCTGGCTTGTACAGAAGATATTTTAATTGGGAGTGGTGACACATTTAATAATATATCAAGTTAACCATTTAAAAAACAGACATTCCCCAAAAGAAAAATGATACCATTCAAGATGTCCTCTGGTGGAAAAATTATCTCCAGAGTAAAAGGGTTTGTTCCATTTCAAACACCAGAAAGTTAGTGCTGAAAAAGCATTCTGAGGTTTCTGACGACAAACAAAAGCTGTGACTTCAGCTTCCTCC